TCGCATTATGATATCTGTTCAAATAAGATCCCGGCCATAGTCTGGTTGGCACAACACCCTCCAAAGGAAGCCCCGGCCATATTCTGGCGAGCACTGCCTCTCGTAGAGGCCCGGCCACGCTAAAAGGCCCACGTGTTTCGGTAGTCTGGCGGGCACCGCCTCTCGTAGGCCAGACTAGAAATAACCAGTCCCGAAACGGCAGCGACTACCGTATGCGGACGGTGCCAAGACTACTTTTTTTTTTTTTTTAAATTAACTCAGTACTCGTATGCACAACCTTAAGGGTCGTATGACGAGCCACCCGGAAGCCCGAGTGGATTCAAGGGACGGTCAAGTTAATCTGACGCCCTGCGCAAGCTACGTACAAAATCAAAACAACACGAGCGAGTAACATAAAGCAACGCAGCAAATATCACATATGCGCACTCTCCTATCGTCCAGCGAGGGGGCGGTAGAGCCAAGACTACTTAGTTGTCATCTGGTTGAAACTGGTAAGTTGGGGGGGAAGAAATGCCACGGCCACAGATCCCACTGCAGTGTTGAGGCACGATTCAGGAGGAGCTTAGCTATAGCCAGTCTCGCACAAGCCGTTTTGAGGAGTAATATATCCTAACAAGATGTGGGCAGGAGGACCAGAACCGGGTAGAGACTTAAAGGTACTTATGCTAACTAGTCTGGTTGGCACAGCACCCTCCGTAGGAGGATGCTAACAGACCATTAGGATGTACCTACTACTAAGTAGCAATATCTGATAAGACAAATGGTGGTAAAACCTAGTCTGGTGGGGAGAAACCGGTAGAGAGGACAAGGCTGTGGGAATCCATGGAAAAAGCAATGCGTTCGATAATTGAGGCGGGAAGCTCTCCAGCCTGAATCCAAGCAGCCCATTGTGCCCCAGGAAAATCCAAGCGTGGTTTTGCTGAAAACATGCATGGGGCACTAAAACCACGGATAGCACGAGCAGCAGTTATGTGTGTAGTTATTTAAAAGTAACCGAAAATAAATAATTACGATACCTAAGCTAGCGTAGTTCAAAAGTTAAGAACGAACCCACTTTTAATGGCTGGTATACGGTTTCTTTTGGCCTTCGAAAGATGTTCTAGTGAATGCCTCCCTTTGAAGGAGTCCTCGCCTTGGTTCTAGTGCTCGAACTCACTTGTGTTGACGTTGGACGTTGAAATAAGGTGGTACCTAGTCAGAACACCCAATAGTCTGATGGGTAGGTACCCAGGTGCCCAGTGCATGCGGTAAGTTCAGTTAGAGTTTAGGCTGACTGTTCAAGTTGGAGGTCGTTGTGCCAACCAGACTAGGTATGATATTTATATATAGAACTGGTATAGGGAATCACGTGCAGAACCAAACCATGGAAACAATTGCTACAGGACCAAATCGAACAAAAAACCTAATACCAAAAAAAACAGTGAAATACCACAAATATTCTTCGCCCAGAATGTGTGAATGAACGAAGCAATCTGAATCCACATTTCTTACGCATCATATGATTCGGTCGGACTGATAATTGTGCCATACGAGCAAAAACCGGATATTTTTGTGTTACCAGGTCGAAAACCAGACTATCGGTTATGTTACCCGGACCCAACGGCACGGCACGCATGAAAAAGTTAAGTGCTTACAGCTCTAAGCTGGGTTCCAAGAAACCAGGACAAGGGCTGTTATCTGTATTCGATCAGCCCCATGGCGGGGTAGGGCGTAGAAGGCTGGTGACACAAATCAACAAATTCATACTTGGTGGAAGAGTTTGTATTCACCCGCAACCCAAGGCTGCGTATATGCAATGCACGTTACTGGAATCTTGTTCGAAATGAGGTTATAAGCATGATTATGCAACCAAGATGGAGATCCCGGAGAGTTGCCGGAGCTCATGGCCTGAAACACAAAAGCTTCAGCGCGGAGTCATGAACAAGATTACTCCGACTGGAAGGACATATAAAGGTAAGAGCTCCCAAGTTGCTTCTCATTCTTCACCTCTTCAACCTTCACCTCTCCGAGAACAATTATACCGCCATCAACACAGCCCAAAATGACTTCCTCCCCTCTCACCAAATCCATTTCCGGCGGCTGCTTCTGTGGCAGAATTAAATTCACCATTACACCCAAACCACTTACCGAAGAGCCTGACCCAGCCTATGGCCCTCCACCACATCTCTTCTACTGTAACTGCTCGCAATGCCGTACGCATCTAATTTCCCTTACCCTATAGAGCCCATGGAACGCATAGTAACTTTCTTTCAGGCCGCCAACACGCTTCCCCTCTCGTACCTGTAATCCGCCTTCCCCTCGCCTGGACTTCTTACACTATGCACCCCATGTCCGCCACCGAGACGTCTGAATCCATTCTAAAAGTTTACAACTCCACTCCAGGCGTCGTCGAGCGCCGTTTCTGTGGATTCTGTGGGACTTCAATGAGTTATTGGAGCTCTGCAAGTGATGAGGAGAAAGCGACATTGTATATCCCGATTGGGGCACTGTCGGATGAAAGTCAGAACATTCTGATGGAACAGGTGGGTAAGCCGGAGTTGCATTTCTACTGGGATTCTGGTGCTGGGTGGTTTCAAAAATTGCTTGCTGGATCGGAGGTGGTGAAGGGGGGGAAGTTCAGGAGCGGTGTGGAGAGTGAGATGATTCAGGAGTAGGGAGGGGTTCAAGTACGTACAGGTGCTTCTACGATATGATAGTGGATCAGAATATACTCGTGGAACTGGGGATATGGGGATATGTACGGTCAAATGTAACGTTTACGTGAGGGTACATCGCTCCTTTCATGATTCCGGATTTGAAGAGCTTAAGGACTCAACTATATGTTTATATATCGGGGAAGTGGATAACTTACTGGGAGTGTTCATGGAAACAAGAATAACAATTCACGAGTCATATAGCTCAATTATCTTTTTCAACCAGACTCTTCTTCCGAGACTTAAGCTTCCCAATTAGGTACTTAGTTGTGAAAATAGGGTTATTTAGTGTTTCTACCCCATTTGCAGTAACGAATACCCAAGCTCTGTCGCCATTTCAAGGAAACACACTAACATGCCTGATGTGTTTTGTGATCTCCTTAACAACAGGCCATTTTTTTTTTCCTTCAATTCTTCACTTGATCATTTGGACATTATACAAGCTCTGTCAAGGCAATAGCACATTTCCAATGGGAACCTTAATGTTTTTGCTTGATCAGTTATCCTTATTTAAGCCAAGAAATACAAGTCACTTTCAGTTACCCTGAATTTTTGATTGATCACATAGGAAGCAATTTCTTGAGCGTGAGCACAAGTTCACCTCAGCCTAGGAATTTATTGTCAATGAAAGTTTATAGATTGAAAGTTCAGCAATTTGAAATATCCGAATAATGGATGGATTGTTCCAGGCGTTTGCTGTGAGAAGTGGCGGTTCCAAATAGAACTGATTATTACTAGGATTGGATTGCGGGTTCTTTCTGTAGCGATGTACGTCCACCACAAGCATTTTAACTGCACTACAGGAATTACTTTCTCTCTACCCTGTCGTAATGACCATCTGCAACCCAAAGAACAGTCTGCCAGAACTTACGAAAATGCGCTTCACCAGCTCCCAGCCAACACCCGACCCATGATGACGCAAGAGAAATTTGATAATCTACTCGCTCGAATTACCTCCGACGGCTGTGCCAAATTGGGCAAGCAACAACTGGAACTCAACAACCCTATGATAGCACAAGGATTAATCAAGTGAGCCATAAAACCATATACAGGGCCGCGTAACATATAACGACCTCAATACATTAAGGAAACAGGTCAAACTTGAGCTCGAGCCAAAACCACCTGACAGGCCGACAAATAAAAACCTTGAGAGGCAATTCCGGCCGAGTTTCAAGGCCAATGAAACGCATTAACCAATCTCAAGGTCATCAAGTATGAAACCAGAAATCGTAAAGGCTGCTGCTGCCGAATTTTCCAAATCCCCACTATTGGACAAAGCGGAATATTGAACAGGAGCAGAAGGACATCTCTTCTCTCTCTCCCTACGACGACACAATCTCACCCTCACCCTCCCATTTCCCTCCCCTTCCCAAACGCTTCTTCCACAAAGCGTAACTCCGCACGCAACTAACCCACGACTTCTGGTGGCCTGCACTTGCAATCCATCATCGAGACTCCAAATTCTCTTCTGATCCAGTTACCTTCCCCGCCTCCAGTATCGCTTTGAGTGTGTATGGGACGGTGATGATTAGCGTGGGACATCTAAATGTGACTGAGAAGTTTGATGAGAAGTGGTATTAGGCGAGAATGTGGTTGCTGTAAGAGGTCATGTTGAAGGGGAAGGAAAGAGTCCAGATTGACATGACTATTATGCTGCCGAAAGTGGTGGTGAGGGAGAGTTAGACGGAAATGGAGGGGAGAAAGGTCGTTGGACCTTTCTGAAATCCCGGAATGCAAAATAGGGGATTTCAGGCAGCTTATCTTATACAAAATTTGGGATTTCAACCCACAGTTTTACAATAATTCACATTTTGCTAATCTCGTGCCCATTTTGCTAGTCTAGTTGGCCATTTTGCAAACCAAATAGAGGTCGAATTGGGACTAGTATAATGGTTGTTTCGATGGCACGAGACTAGTTTCGAGGCGCGAGGAGGGAGGTTAGAGATAGAGATTATAAATTAGAGTGATATGATATCAGCACAAGACTCTATTTCATCAAAACAGACTAATATTACTGATTCCTCTCGCCTAGGCTGTGAACGATAGACTGCGGGCGCCGGCCTCTCGTTGCTCCTCTTGACGCAGGTTGACTACGGAGGGTGTTGTGCCAATCAGACTACAGGTTAAAGCCCAGACGCATTCCCACCCCCTTCACTACGAGATGGTGTCCCCGTGCCCAGAACTGGTTAAGCACATGCCAAATAATCGGTCTGGGCACGAGATGCCGGTGCCTGCCAGACTAATTAAGCCTATAAACTGCGCTACATACTGCCTCCCCAAAATGAATAAAAGAAAAGCAAAAGAAAATGCTCTCTGTGAGGCTCGAACTCACGACCTTTGGATGTCACAACCCATAGTGAACTATGAGTCCAATACTCTACCAACTGGGCTAAGAAAGCAAACACCAATAGATGTAAATATAGCATCTTCTACAAGAATATTTAGGTTGGTTATCTATAATCAACCCACAAACACTTCAATTGCTGTTATCGATGTACAACAAAAGCACTTTCTCACTGTATTATTAGATGCTAGCAACATATGCTTGATAAGCATTAAAAGAGCTTTTGTGAGAACTGGAAGTTGGAGAACCTATCATCAACTCTCTACGATGTTCGGGACTTCGCTGCATTCTGCAATGAATTCCGCGCCTGGCGGCTGTAGCTGTATACTCGGGGCGCGGTTGAGGCGGTCTGAGCAGCAATGAGACAGGCTGCAAAGCGCCAAAGCGCGCGGTAAAGAGCATGACAAGGCTAACAAGGATGGAGAAAGATGATCTGGGTAATTCCCAATCGCTCCCAGACTGGCTCTCAGTACGGCTCAGCCCCCCCCAGCCGCGCCCAGTTTCATGTGCCCCGGAACACTTCTGAATGGGACTGTATAAAACGGAAACTTCATGACCCTTCTTCAAGACAGATGTCCACCAGACTCAACCCCTATCCCAGCCTCTAGCCTCGAGATTCTCTGCACTCGTCTATTCCTCAATAGTAGTTAAATGAGTTGCCCCCATATGCTTCTTAAGTGACCGGTTACTTGCTTTGTGCATAGATTACAGTTAAATAATGTGACGTTTAATTTATATAGCTATTAAGGTCATCCAGTACTGCATATGTCCTGTTACACTGCCGACATTGCAGTGTATGTGGTGTGTCTTTTCCTTTATATGCACCCTGAGTGCATTATGTGAATGTGACTGAAAGGTGCTCTCCTCCAATGGAACAAAAGAATGACAACCACATCCCCTGGCAGAACTCACTGCACGACAACAGCTCGAAGCCTCCCCCCACCAGGTTTCTCTATTTCAGGTTCCTCAGGTTTACCGTAATCAAAGGGGGCGCGAGGCTGAGTAAAGACTGTGTTTTGGTACTTGCAGATTTTCAAAGTTAGTTTCATGGGTATTTTGAAGTTGATGGTGATAACTGAGGAAAATATTCTTGGTCCTCTGGAGTAATTCTTGACTTATTTAACACTCTCATATGGCGTGCTACAACCCTAGGTGAAATTGTTGTACTAGGAGACACCGAAGTGAAATCTCTGGTGTCATCTGTGAGAACCTGATGAGTGTATTCTGAAGTCATAAGTTCAGTGGTGTATCCAACAATTTCTTTTGCTTGAAATGTAGAAGCACCTCCTAGTTTAAGGCCTCTCTAGTGAATTCCCGTCGAGTCGTGTATGGATAGTTGTCCTTGAACATCACTCGGCGAATCTAAAATCCTCCCAAGCACAGACAGGAGGGGCAGTGAAAGTTCCCCCTCAACTACTCTGAGGAAATTTATTTCCCCCCTCGGATATGCGCGTTAAAAATTGATCCACACCGCCCCCAAACACAGAATTACCTCCTTAGCACCCACTCCCCTCTCTCACTCGCTCACTCCGCCCCCAAGTAATACTCTCAATCCATGCCGTACCTCTCCCTCCCCTATATCCCACTCGCCTTCATTCCACTAGTAAAATTCCCATTCCTACGCAGCAGGCGGGTAAAAAGGTGAAGAATTGGTGGTCAGGGAACAGTCGGCGAAGGCGAGACAGGATCCGCTCTGCACGAGTCTTAACAGGAGAAGCCTATGAGGAGAACATGGGAGCATACCTTAGCCTCTGCGAATTCTTATACAGGTGATATCAGAACAATCACTGGGGCCGATGCCTAGTGTCTTTTTTACTGCTAGTGAGTGAAACGAATTCATCCACAGTCATGGCCCCCAGTATGTCGTTTGGATAATAATCCTCCTGATTCACTGTCCTCAGCGCGTCTGTCTCATCTGCACTTCAATCCCCGTCCTCTCTATCCTCTCATTACCATTGACCTGATAGCTAAGCCGGCCAATCAAGAGCCTAAGCCCTGTACCAGATATCTGTTTATTAAAGTTGAACTCGACCATCAGCTGCGGGATGCGTGGCATGCAAAAATTAGCATTGAAATAAAAGTAGGCTCCCAAGGTTACGTTTCCCGGATCCCAGTTTCCTTGCCTCCTTCCATAAACTAACAGCAATAATTCCACAAGCTATGGACAGGTCTTCACAGGAGGCCTTGTAATATGGATGATGAGATTGATTGGTGATAGCGGCCTTTCATCCTGTTTCCTTTGGGAAATTGAGCGCAAAACTCCAGTATATCGTTGAATTAGCCAGATAGCCATCTTTGGTACTGAATGAATGGATGCTCTTGTGACGAAATATTTGCTATTACTGTACTGCATCCTACTTTGGAAACTCCCAGCGGCTTAACTAGTATTTTTAGGTCGTTTCTGGAGCTCAGCCTACTCTTCCTCATAAGCGTCTACTCCCGCATCTTCTATGTCTACTATTTCAACCATAATGACCAAAGTGTACGTTCGGTAGATCCAGAGTTTCTACGTCATGTGGGGTAAATTTTCGACCAGTTTAAAGTTCGTTGAACCTCACATCGATTAAACGCTTCACATAGAGGTTTTTGTCTTTGTAGATAGCCCGGACCTTCGATATTCAACCCCGCCACATTTTTTCAATTATATGCACCAAATATCTGCACTCTTTCTGGTTTGAGCTTTTGACGGTCAAAAGTTCTAAGTCAGCTAGAGCTGGCAATTAATAAATACCGTAAGTTGAAATATTTACTCATTGCCCTATCCCTTCAGCTAGTTGTGTTTACTGCCTTGTTCATATCAATCCTGGCTTGCCTAGCTTCATTAATGTCCAAGATGAAATTAATTCTGTCGGTTGTATAGTAACGCTTTATTGACAGGATCAATGAAGTCGTCACCAACTACCTCCTCCGTGCGGCGGAGGAACTATAGATAGATATTGTCGCCAGTCGACAGCAGCTTTGGTATATGTCCCTACTTGCAATTCTTCTTGCACAATCGAGCCTCTCCTGCTATATCCACAAATGGGTCTTAATATCATTAGCACAAGATTACCACACTAAGAGGAGCTACTTGGTACGAACCTGAGTAGGTTCAGTCTGTATTAGTGTAGTTTCTTGATTCACCTCTTTAGCTTTCTAATATAATAAACCCTTAAAATAATGCTTATACAATTCTATATACCGCATTATCGGGAAAATAAGCCCTCCGACCACGCTAAAGTAAGCAACTGCACAAATTAATATCTGCCCACCAGAGTACGATCTCTGCTCTGTCTAAGATACCGTATATAAAACATCTTGAATAAGCTATTGAACGATAAAGTTGCAGACTATCTGGATGATATTATTGAGTATATGCCAGAGAAGGCACAAGAGGCTGGAGAAAACTTGATAGTATTGGAGCATGACGCATTACTATTACTCATGTAGTAGGACAAGCTTGGGAGTGGCTATATCATGAGAAACGCCAGAGTATTAGTAAGTCATTTGAATTTCTTTACTCTCATATGGAAGTCAGGACCATACACTACATATTCGTGGGGCTTTTGGGACTTTACGAGCGATGCAGCGCTGGAACTGAAGACACACTGAATTTGTCCCGGTCCTACTGGTAGCGATCTAGATAGAATTAGTAGTAGTTCTTTAGAGGAGTTATTCTGTCTATATTGCTCTATGCTCGTTGATGTCTCCAGTCATCCTTTTATATGATCTATGACCAATCACCTAGTCTAATATAACCTCTAACCCGATGCAGCACTTCCCCGCTGATCGGGTTTGACGCGTGCTCAACTCTTCGAAAAAAGCGAAAAAACCCACTATCGTAATCATCCCTCCTATTCATGCCACCCCTTCCCCTTGTTCTTATACACGCTTCTTCAATGCATATCCACTCATCACTGCCCTCTCTGCACCTTCCCCACTCATCCCTTCGCTTAGCAACCGAAATACCTGGTTCTTTAGCGTGGCCGGGGGTTCTTATTGACAAATAATGCGGGTTAATTTAACCCCAAAGGATACATAGCTATGGCCTTTTTCATATAAACCTTGTCCCATAGTGCCTGGTCCACGGGGGCCAATTCAGATTGCAGACTTCAAGTAAGCCGTTTTGCATGATGACTCGCAAGACAAACGGGGATGCATAAATGATGATGTTCGAAGCTATAAGGTAGCTAGTACAGCAGGTACGTATTTTTTTCGTGAAATTCTTGTCCAGCAGGAGAGCAGCAGGCTCGAGTGGGATGGGACGTTGATTTGACTTTAGTAACCTACGAGGGCTAGACTAGGAGTCGTGCTCCAAGCCTGGAACGAGTTGGAGGTTCAGTCAACATGCTCAGGAAATTATTGCATGACACCGATGATATCCCAAGAAAACGCGAATCCTTCCATGTAGAGATAATCGCCAGAAGGTAAAAACCAGATAGGTATACTGTACATATACCTAGTAGTATAGCTATACAATAGGTTACATTGATTACCGACATCAATAGTCCTCCATGTACCATCAAATCAAAAACTGCACAAATTATTCAGCAAATAAAGAGAATAAGCCCCAGCCCCGAAAAGTAGGATAGACAAAGAAAGAGAATATGCCCATACACCGAAATCTTTTGTATCAAGTACTGAAGTCATGAAATCAATGCTCTTACTCCCTTCGCGGAGAGAGTAATTCCAAAGATAAAAATAAAGAGGAACAAAACGAAGAAAACGCCGTTACCCACCCCGAAGTTCCTCAACACATTCGCTAATTATGAAAACATTGCCAAAGATATTAGATGAAGTATGCTGCCTGGACTCCCTAGGCTATAGAAACCTTGAAATGTTGCTTGCTTGTTGCCATAGTCGTTGCTCGTTATTTTGTAAAGAAAACCCAAAATCCAGATGAATACTAAAAAAAAATTTAAAAAAAAAAAAAACTCTCGTCTGTTAAGTTGAAAAACACGTCGCGGCGCGGAAGACCCATACTCGGAATGGGATTCGTAGCCAGGAACGATGGAAAAATTGTAGACCCGTGTACTTCAGCGCCGGTGGAGAAGGAAAAAAACCGAAAAGTGCTTA